TCACCATGGAGGAAATAGATGCTTGCTTGGACGAGATTGAAGCAGAGGATGCCTCGCTCAACTGTAAGTCTAATGTGAAAAATGTACCTGAAAGTTTCAATCCATTTCAGTTACTGACTCCTATTATTTTAGAGAGCAAAGAAGGAAAACCAGTCCGTTTGATCGCGAAAGTAGATACGGGATCAGATTCCACCTTCTTAAATAAAAACATTTTTCACAATAAACTACTATTCACTTCCCAAGATACTATTTCTGTTGAAGGCAATTTGAACTTTCTGAGTCATTCAGTAAAGAGATTGGGTAAAACACCAGCTATCAAGATAAGATATCTTAATGACATTGCATTTGATCACTCGTTTGAGCTATCCAATTTTATTCAGGACCTAGGCGATTTTGATGTGCTACTGGGTGTAGACACATTGAGTCGACTTAGAATTGGGCTAACTGGCGTTGCTCACAAGTTTGCTGATATTGGAAATCTTACAGAGGAAGAGAAATCAGAGCTTCTTGAAAGCATCGATTTCGAAAATGTCAATTTTGATACTAAACATTCTATTGATCCAGAAACCGCATCAATCTTTGAATCCCAAGCTGAGGAGAATAAGTATATGAGCAACATCCAAGATGCTATTGATGAGAATCAGAGAATCAAGCCTGGAACGTTTTGTAACGTGCCTGAATCTGAGATCACTATACCAATCAAGGAGAATGTTGATTACTACGTCAAGCAATATCCGATCGCACATCATGCAATGCCCGAAATCGAAAAGCAATTGAATGAATGGCTGGATGCAGGAATTGTAGAACAGTGTAGACCTAACGGCTTATTCAACAGCCCTCTCATTGCAGTATCAAAGAAGGACAATGATGGCAAACCCACCAAAACTCGAGTTTGTATGGATGTGCGGAGGATCAACCAGCATATGCCCAACAATACAAACCAATTTGAGATACCAAATATACAGGATATCTTCACCCGGATCAAGCAGAAGGGGACAATATTTTCGAAAGTCGATCTGAAAAACGCATATTTTTCATTTAGAATTTCTGACATATCAAGAAATGTGCTTTTGTTCAATTTTAGAGGGAAATCGTATAGATGGTTAGGCTGCTGTTTCGGGTTGCGCCCAATCACATCTGTCTTTAGCTCTGTCATGAACATTTTGTTTTCTGATATGCCCAACGTGGAGGTCTATGTGGACGACCTATGCCTCGTATCTTCATCCTTATCCAGTCATTGCGAATTGATTAAGGAGGTGCTGAGACGCTTGACACATGCCAACTTAAAGATTGGTGTTGAAAAGTGCTCCTGGTTTCGATCTAGCATCTACTTGCTAGGCTTTGTAGTTGGTCCTCATGTTTCCAAGGTTGACATGCGACGTCTCTCTGACATTGATCATTGGGGTCCATGCAGATCTGCCAAACAGGTTAAACAACTAGCTGGTGTTATTTCATATTTGAGACCACACATCCCAAATCTGTCAAAACTGATGGCGCCTATTGATGCTCTACGAAATGATCCAGATGCTGGTAGCAAATGGACTGATGAGCACACCAAACGACTTGAGATTATCAAGAAGGTCTTGTTATCTGAAGCTTTACTGACTGCACCAGACATGAATAAGAAATTTTATCTTGAATGTGATGCTAGCTTATATGCAGTTGCAGTCATTTTGACGCAGCGCGACGATCAAGGACGCACAGTCTATGTGGCGATGTTGAGCAAATCTCTGACCAAATCCCAACAGAACTGGCCTGTCCTGAGACGAGAACTGTATGCCGTGTTATTCGGTTTAGTTCGTTTGCGACCCTTATTGTACGGGCATCCTGAGATTGAGGTTATGACAGATCATCGAGCTCTGATTTATATCTACACATGTAAATGTCCTACTAGAGTCATTCAAAATTACATGGAGATTTTAAACGAGTATCCCCAACTGCAATTCACTCATATCAAGGGCTTAGACAACATCTTACCTGACAAACTTAGTCGCTTGTATGAACCTTTAGAAGATCATACAGAGCTGGCGGGAGACAGTGATAAGAAAATTGCTAAATTACAAAAGAATATCATGAGAAGCAAAGGCTCCAAGAAACGATTCATTGGCAACAATAAGCAAACAAAGCATTATCTAACCAAGAACAAAGTAGTCTATAACAAAGACAAGCACTTGAATGTACTTGCTATGAAGATCAAGGAGGGCAATTATGAAAGCGTTGCTTACATTGCACCACCTGACAATGAGAGAGACCAACTGCTTCGTGAAACTCATGAATTTGGACACTTTGGTGCCGCTAGTATTGTCAAGAAACTACATGAAGAAGGTATTCATTGGACAGGTCTATATGATGATGCAAAGGCAATTTGTCAATCATGTATGGAATGTGCAAGACACAATGGAGTTCAAAAGGGTTACCATGAACTGAGAAACGTTGTAGCGTATGGTCCATTTGATCACATAGGCATTGACTTTCTTGGTCCGTTAACTCCAACCAACAATGGCAATATATATATATTAGTTGTATACGACATTTGCACCAGATTTATTATAACTCGTGCATTGCCCAACAAACAAACTGATACTGTCGCTAGAGCTCTGACTACCATCTTTGGAGACTTTGGCGTAGTACAAATACTACAATCTGATAATGGACGTGAATTCAAGAGTGCTTTGATGAGCGAGATTGGTAAAGCACTTGGCATCAATCAAAGATACTCTACGGCTTTCCACGCTAGGGGCAATGGTGCATCCGAATCAGGTGTTAAAAATATTCTTAATGCACTTCGTAAGATGGTCAGTGAACACATCTATGACTGGGACTCGGTTCTACCTGGAACTCAACTGGCTATAAACACAAAAATTAGGTATCGCACTGAGAGTGCACCTTTTCAATTGATGTTTGCTAGACCATTGAATAGATTCGTAGACTACGATGATCCTAAGATCAAGGACAACTTACCAAAGAAGCCAATGACTCTCGGTGAGCTACGCAAGAAGGCAGAGATTATGAACCAGGTTGTCTTTCCAGCTATTAACCAAAGAACACAACGCATTATTGAAGAGCAAGCAACGCGATTCAATAAGCATCACAAGATTACACACTTCAAAGTTGGTGATTGGGTTATGGTAAGACTTCCGCATAGAGAAAGCAAACTTGAGGCCGCTTATGATGGACCTTATCAAGTTGTTCAAAAGAAAAGATCTACATATGTGTTGAAAGACGATATGAATGAACTACTACATCGCGACTATGTGCCATCTGAATTGAAGCTGGTAGCAATCGACGAGTCTATCATCGAACAAGAAGTATATGAGGTTGACGAGATCAGAGCGCATCGTGGTCCTGAACACAATAGAGAGTATTTGGTAAAATGGAAGACATTTGGAGAAGCTGCCAACTCCTGGGAAACTGCTGCATCGTTCAACAACCCTCAAACCATTCGTAAGTACTGGGCAAAGATCAAGGAATATGAGCTGCTTGAGAAGAGAAGACAGGCACTAAATAGTGACACTGCTTCCTCCAAATCAAAGCGTAAGCGTGATGATTCTGACAAGCGTTTGAGAGGCTCTAAGAGACTCAACCTTGCAGAACAGTAAAGTGATGTTTGTCATGGAATATATCAGGGCAACATGCAAATTGCAGTAGCACCTTTAGACTATCACATTGCGTTATATCTTTGTCAGCGAATGCGAAATACAGATCATTGATCGTTTACATAATTCTTTGAATTAGTCAACATGCGTTGAAACTGGTGGGGGCAAATGTGGAATACATCCACTATGATCTGCATTCCGACAGTTCATCCAGTTACCAGATTTAGATATAAACTGTATGTACACTGGATTAGATGTACGATATCGATTTATACTATGATCATGAGAAGATATGGACTTCAGATACGCTAGTACTATAAGATTCATACTATATAAGATATAGGCTATAGATGGCACCACGGACATGGATGGCACTATAGACTTATACTTGTATTCCGACATTGACTACGGATGTTTACCATATCTGGATAGGCACCAAGATTAATGCAATATGAGCTTGTTGCTTCAGATGTGCACTTCATGATCCACGCTATAAGACACATGCTTATATCCGTGATACTAGCTACAGATACTTTATGTACTACAGACTTGTATTATATATGAGACATGCTATAGACATGCATATGATATGCTATAGACATGCCATATATCCAGATACATGCTAAAGATGTATGCTTAGCGATATACACTCAGATATGTACTATTAATATAGACTAAGAAGACTGTACCTATCGGATACATGCTACTAGATCGATATTAATTATCCTTATGGAAAGGATAGATCAGGGTACTTCGGATGAGAGTCTAATTATTCATCATCCAGACAGAGCTAAATCATGATTAGCTTGCTGGAGTTGTCTTTTAGCATGATTAGACATTAGTTGATCTGAGTTGACTTATTTGTCAATCTAATTAATAGAACTTTTATCCATTGTTATAGTATATAAGAAGGATCATCTACCTGGCCAGTAGAGAGACTTCAGTTTACTTTACACCTGTCAGTTTGATAATAAAATATACCTTTATCAAGTTGACATCACTGTTTTTTTATTCTTTTTTTTCCGTGAATTTTAGTCTGTAAAGCCTCAAATTCCACAGAGATAGCCATGCTTACAACAGTTACAGTTTAGAGAGACAATGTTTAAGAAAATACAATCAACACACAGGATGAAGGGATCAAATCAACACCAAATCCAGATCAAAATTAACCAAGGCAAGTGGATCAAAAGGGATTGAAAGTACAATTGGGATGGCTAGATTGAAAATTTAATGGAAGGATAAAGATAAAGATATTTATTGTTATTTTGATTGATTCTACTATATATAAGTTCTATGAATATTTTTTTTTGACATTTTACTCTATAAATTTTTTTTTTTTTTTTGACATGTTGCTCTATAAATATTTTTTTTTTTTTTTTGAGAAAATTAATTCAGGTACCTCGATTACACAATTCGAGCAGGCCCAAATTCCTTGATAAACTCGGGTAATGGAATGCAGCGCGATAGCGGATCAGCTATGTTAGAGGGACCCGGTTTGTACAAGATCTTGAAATTATATTCCATGACAGCAGCGCACCATCTTGACAGCTTGGGAGATTGCTTAGTTGGGTTGAAGATATACACCAAACTTGAATGATCTGTGATCAATATAAATTCTCTTCCTTTAAGGTAGTGTTGGAAATGTTGGATTGACCAAACCACTGCGAAAGCCTCGACCTCATGAATATGCCAATTCTTTTCAGACCCTCTGAGACTTCTGGAACCATAGCCAATAACTTGCTCATTACTGCGATCATGCTCATTGAATTGATCTACTTGGGTAAGAACACAACCAAGGCCTGATAGACTGCCATCAACGCTAAGTATTTGCACCTTATGACGATCGGGGAAAGCCAACACCGGATTACTGCACTGGATTTGCTTAAGAGTTTCAAATGCTTGCTGTTGTTCTGGCCCCCATACAAATTTGACTCCTTTTCTTGTGAGACTAACTAGCTCCTTGGCAATTGTTGCATAATTTGGTGTGAACATCCTAAAAAAACCAGTAAGACCAAGAAAACTCTTGAGTTCAGAAACATTTTGACAGGGCGGAAATGACTTGATCTTCTCTACATTGCGATCACCTGGTCTTGAACCTTCACTGCTAATAATATGCCCCAGATATTCAACCGATTCTTGCCCAAAATGACACTTCTTTCACTTGAACTTTAAGTTGGCCCTTTCCGCTGCTTCAAATAGCTCCCGTAAGTGTGCTTCATGAGCTTCTCTTGTTCTAGAAAAGCATAAGACATCATCATAGAAAATGCAAGCTGATTCACCAATCATATGCTTAAAAATAGAGTGCATCGCTCTTTGAAATTCTGAGCCGCCTACTGATATACCCATCGGCAATACTTTGTACCGAAAAGTCCCACGCTTTGTAACAAACCCTGTGAGGTCACGAGCCAAAGTATCCTCAGGATCGATCTCCAGTTGGTGGTACCCAGAAGAAGCATCCAGACACGAAAAATATTTCATTCCAGCCGTCAGTTCAGTCAGTTCCGCCACGGTTGGTGTTGGGAAGTTTGTTTGTACGATCAACTTATTCACCTTTCTGTAATCGATTACACAACGCCGAGAGCCATCCTTTTTCTCAACCAAGAACGCAGCAGAACTCCAAGTGCCATCAGCCTCCTCGATTAGGTCCAGTTCCAACATTTCATCCACGTACTTGTTTAGAGCGTCTTCATCTTCCCAGCTCAGACGAAAACATTTACTCTTGATAGGTTTCGCACCCTCCACAACTTGCACACGCATTTTGTGCCCCTTGATTTTAGTCAGACCCGACACTTCAGAGAAGACATGGCTAAATTCATTTAGTAAATCATGTAGAAATTCTGGGGCACCTTCAGCAATATTGTCCTTGTCATATTTGATTTCCTCAAATGTGTCCGGTATCAGATCTTCCTCCAACGATGCAGCATGTTTCTTGGCCAGTTCAATCTTGTAAATTTCCTTGCTTTTGTCGTGCACCAAACCTGGAATGTGCGAGGTAAAACCCTGCAACTTAACAAGACCAGAAGTGGTAGGTACCTTGATAATAGAGTTCGCAATGTCCAGTTCAACACCATAAGCCTGCAACCATGGAATACCCAAGATTAGAAGATCCGCATTCGTTTGATCTTGGACGCACATATGCTCTGGCCTTATGTGTTTGCCGTGGATGCAAATTGGTACATCCATCACAATGTCCGCACGCGCACCAGCAGATTCGTTGTTAAACCCCACTAATTGCAGAGAGTCGCCATTGCACGCCATACCTAGAGATTCACACAAGGACCTTGAGATAACACTTATGGAGCCACCGGTATCGAAACAAGCAATCACCTTCCTTCCATTGATCGATATTTCAGCCTTGAGAGGGGAACTCCATTTCATTTTTGCTAAATCGTAAGGATAACGATATACTGAGTGAGTGTCATCGAAATTGAGATCCGAATCAGTGCCTGAACTGAAAGATGCCATGGAGTCACCATCACTAGATGGGTCAGAGTCGTAATATGAAGAAGCCTCAGAGACATAAGAATCAGCAGCATGTTGGACAACATTGATTTTGTTTGGAGGTTCCTTGCTGCCACCATCCATCTCCATCAAGTGCCGTTTAGTACGCTTTGGCCTTTGCTTCCGTAGATCACGAAGACCATCCACGAAATCCTTAGCAGCGTCCTTGTCAATCGCAACCCAGTCCAAGATGGATAAACCAGAATCCAGTTCAGAAAGCTTGTTCCACACGTTTAATGATTTGGTTGGCACCTTCAACACACGAGCCTTTCTTGTCGGTCTTGGTTCCTTCATCGTGATTTCTTTGGATACAGTTTGCCCTGCTGGCGATACTCGCTTCTTCTTAGCGACACGATTGTTAGCATTTAAGACCTCGGGGACCTCCGGATTAGCTCTCTTGATAGCGTACACTTCATTTAACTCTTCAGCTTCCACCATGGTATCGATGAGATTCAAAGAAGACGATGAGGGTAGAGGATTTGGGAATTGAGTATCAACAACCTCTACTGTTGATACTCGCTGGCTTTTCCCGAATCCTTTCCATTAGTGCCCAAAGGTAAGCTATTAGCACCAGTAACCGGAGGAGCCTTAGCATCATTGACCATTTCCTTGGTGCACTCATATTTCTTATGCCCGGGTTCTCCACATAAGAAGCACACAATTCCACCAGTGTAAGAACGACGAGGGGCACTACCATATGCACTACTGTTCTTGTTGTTGTTCACAGTAGCTTCTTGTAAGGCAACCAAGTTAATTGACAATTTCTCCAACTTGTCTACCAAAGACATCACACTTGACATGGCTGAAATCTCGGAATTGCTGTCCGTGATTTCATGGTTATCCGCTACTTGTTCTTGCATGTTGCTCATAAGACCAGTTTCTAAAGCGCCTTGACGGTTGCTAGCCACAACACCATATTTTAACTGAGATTTCTCCACTTGTCTAGCTCTTTCCTTGGCGACCGCAAAAGTGGCAGGTTTACTTTCCTTCTCGACTTCATACGCAATGTTGGAATTGATGGCATTCAAAAAGGTGCGCACCAGAAGGCCTTGATCCTTGTTGCCTAGCAAATTGAACAGCTCCTCCATTCGTATGGCTACTTCGTCAACGGAGCGGTATTCATCCCCTTGTTTGAGCCCATAAATTGCGGACCACCATCTGTCCTCCAAGTCAGATAGGTATTGAGCCTTGAAGAGACTCTCGAATTTTTCCCAAGTGTCGGCCTTGGACCCAACAACGTTCCACCATGATTCAGCCTTGTCAACCAGGTTTTCCTCGACGATGAGTAGCATTTCTTCGTCATTGATTCTTGCGCTTTTCTTCAAACGATTCATTCTTGACATCCAAGTGGCTGCCCGTTCCTCATTGACGCCATCAAAGGACCTAGGTTCCCTAAGGAAACGACCACCAGAGCTAGGTTCACCACCGTTTTTCTTGTCAATTGCCATTTGGATTATCTTTAGGGAGAACGACGAGTTAGTAACCATTGAAGCCCGGACCAACTGATAAATATCAAGCTCTCTATAATGATTACCTTGGTAGTCGGTAATCAAGATATAAGTATTGTTGTGTGGAAAGGAAGACTGTAAGAACTATCCCAATAATTATGAGAGATGAATTTAAGGGTTCTTTAGGTTTGTTCGTACTAGATTGGCACTAGTAACTAAACTCCAGATTAGAATAAGAAAAAAAAATGGATGATGTTTATTAAGATGCAATTCAAAATACTATTTATATATGTCATTGTTCTATATATTGTTATTCTCCTGTCAGGCTCAATTCAGATCCGAATGTCAGTGCCCTGATCAAATGTAACCTCAAATTGGATTGCCTTCAATTTAACGTCAATTTCATGTACCCGCGTTCTTGAGTCGATCCTATCGTTTAAAATAGTAACACCCCAATTCCATTATTGTAATTCCACTTGAATCTTGCATCGATTCGACATTAATTGGTTTGCATCTATCCTGAGTCAAAGTCCAGAGTCAAATCCACATTTCAAAATAATAATGCTTGGCTATTAGCGCGCAATCTCATTTAGATCCCTGACTAATTCATCGATTCAACATTATCGGCTCCAAATACTGATTAGATTTCGGCTAAACTTGACAAGAAGCACCACGATCAAACGAATATGTAACAACAACAAAATAGAAGCGACACCAATTGAGTAAGCACCAACATTGATTAGCAATACACCAAATAGAGACCACATCGACTAGAATAACAGTATCAACGCACCATCAAGAGATAACATACAGTTTTACAACAATTATATGAGTGTGTCAATGCACCAGAACACCACACCAACGAGGAGTAACCCTTCAAGTAAGACATAGTAGATAAGTTAGAGAATTATACCTTGAATCCACCACATTGCGCCTTTTCCATATACGGTATATTGCCTTTTTAGGAAATCGAAATAGAGCCAAGTAATCAAGAGAAAGATACACACGTATCAAAATACAGAAGCTGATTTGGCCGAGTTGGTCTAAGGCGCCGCACTCAAGTTGCGGTCTCGCAAGAGGCGTGAGTTCGAATCTCACAGTCAGCATTTTTTTTCGCAAATCTCACATTTAAATGAGACGTTTAATTTTGCTTTTTTCTTTGATATTTGTAAATTTTGGTGCGATTGACCTCCTCGGCAAAGGTTCTGATAATGTTCGCATGTATTTGTGTTTGCTCAAGCTGTACTCACTCTGTAAAGGTGTAAGTTATTTTACATACTTTGCTCTTGTACGTTGTGTCTTACAATACAAATTTGTTCTGGAATCATAATATTAGGAAATAACACAGTAGTGTCATAGCTGAGTAATATGGATGACCATATTCTATTCGTATCATAATCTAAATAAATGGATACGTATTCTATCCTTTTGTTTGGAGGATCATATAACATTTTGTATTTCTAAACTCGAAGCCTACATATATTATCTGCACCAAAATTCGAAACGATTCATTGGAGGACATCGCGACATGTACTCAATTCTTATTTGAATTGCAGCGAGCCCTTAATCTAACTTTGTTGGTCTTTTCCTTCTGTATTTCTGCCTACTTTACGAATGGATTTTTTTTCTAGAGGATACACAGCTCTTAGAGGAGAGCGTGGACAACCCCAATCTGCTGATGAGACCATTGAAAAACTTGCTGACTGCCTCGAAACCGCGACTTTACTTGAAGACAGACGTGCAGGTGTTTTGAGCCTCAAAGGATTAGTGAGGGATTGGCCAGAGGTAAATGAGGATTTCACTACTAATGTATTAAATGCCAATAAATGCTATTTGCTGTTAGGAAGTTGGAAATAAGAGCTTTCCCGGATTGATCAAAGTTTTGCATACTGATTATAAGGATGTGGATATCACAAAATCTTTATTGGAAACCATTACAATTCTTTGCACAGTTCAACATCAAGTAGGTAGATATTTATGAAAAGAGGAATATGTAACTAAATGTTTGATTGTAGCAAGATAAAGACGACAAGGGGTTCAAATTTACAGATTATTTCATCGAGGTAAAAGCATAGCAATATCGACGAAGCTAAAGAACAACCTATACTCAGTAACGATAATAGGATTCTCGCAATGTTACCATCCTTTTGGACATTCTTGAAGAGTTTGATTTCTATGTTCGATACAACACCATCAAACTACTATCCACACTGTTAGCCAACAGAAGCAAACGAATCCAAGAATGCATTTTGACCAATCCAATGGGTATTTCTCGTCTTGTGGACATGTTAGATGATAAAAGAGACATCATCAGAAATGGTAAGGATGGTAGATATGGTCGAGTCCTTTTATGATTTAACACACAACTACATAGAGGGCTTATTACTGTTGATTGGCCTTACTCGTAGTAATACTGAGGTGCAAAAGATTGTTACCTTCCAAGCTACATTCGAGAAATTATTGGCTGTAATTGAAGAACAAGAGGGCATCTCTGGCGATATCGTCGTACAAGATAGTTTAACGCTAATGCACAATTTATTGCGATATAACGTATCTGATCAAGTTTACTTTCGCGAAACTAGCTGTATTCAACAAATTCCTGGTTTATTAGGTTATGTGGGCGATAGCGATGCGGACCATGTACCTTACTCATTCGAGGATTGGCCGCCTCAAAAGATTGCTAATACAGTGTTGGTGTTGCAATTGATTCGTATCTTGACTGAACCTGATAGTAGCAGTACGCCCATCAATCAGAAGGTGATGGTTCAAAGTGGCATTCTTTTGCCTATCGTTCAATTAGGTCTTTGCTCAAATGCTCCCTCTATCGTCCGTACCGAGGCTCTTTATTCCATTGCGTATGTTGTCGCCTCCAATGTTGATAATCAGGTTATGCTTGGTAAGATTGTAGTTGCTTCTCCTCCTGTGCTGAATCAAGATGGCCAGATTGACGCCAATGCTGCTCCTGGCATCCCTCGCCCAGCTATGATTTCTCTCATCTCAATTGCTGTCAACGAAGACCGTGGTGTGTCCTACAGTTATTCAAGCCGTGCTGCTGCCACATATGCGGTATACTCTTGTTTGGAGGAAAATCCGGATGCCCAGCTCGTATTGGCTTCTACCCTCAAGACGCCACCCGAAGATAATGCAAACAGCTCTTACACCGGTAATTCAATTTGCCTTTTGGTCAATCATCGTGCTAATCTTGTATACAACAGATAAACCCCATTCAGCAGGATCCCTTTTGTTGGAGGTTATCGAGAATTGGGAGCAATCGTTGACCGATCCTTATAAGGTGTGGTTTGCCTGTGATATTTTATCTCATATTATCAGAAACAACGAGAGAGCCAAGCAAATAGCGGGAAGTATTGTATTTGGTGATGAGGCTAATGGCGAGGATCCTGTTCCTTTACTGCATCAGATTGTTGCACAATTGCTCATGTCCACCAAGAACCCCTCTACCAATGCTCGCATTCCAATTGGTTATCTGTGCTTGCTCTGTACATGGCTTCATGAGAGCCCAGCATCCGTCAGCTTGTTCTTGGCCGAGAGTACACATGTTCAGTTTGTAAGTGCACCTTGTTTCGACTCGCTGAGGCTTATATGACTAATGCACACTGAAGTTGATCCAAGAAATGCAATCATCCACCAATGACCCTACAGTGCAAGGCCTTGTTGCTTATCTTTTAGGCATTACATACGAATATAACGATGATCCATCCACTCCTTTGGATAGAGCTAAACTGCAAGCCATCTTCTCCAGCCGCTTGGACCAATTCAATAGCTTGGTAGCTCGTCTGCGTGATAGTCCAGCTGTCAAAAATGCGCCACAATTTTTGCAAATCTCCGCAGAGGATGAATCCATCTCCAATACAACGCATTCGCTACCCTCTTTACTGTTGGATAGCGTTTTCGTAGACTTATTCAAGTCAAACTATGGTTGGTATTCAGTGAAATGGACCTTTAGCTATCGATCTCTTAACGTTGATATCCAACTAGAAAACATCCAGAAATCAATCAAAAAGAAGCCAGCCAAATTCAACAAGATTGAAAACAGAACAAGTAAGTGGTGCAATGTCGAGGACTGAAGATGCAGCTTAATAACAGGGCATTGCAGATTCACCTGCTCCTCCAAGCCCAATTGTATCAGACGAAGTAATTCAAAGTTATAAAAACACAATTGAAGAACAATCGAATCAAATCAAATCACTGGAATCAAAAGTATCAGAATTAGAGTCTTCCTTACAAATTTTGGTATTCAAGCACATGAATTTTCAGAATCAGATCATGATTTAATTCTCTTTTGTAGAAATCCAACGATGAATTGATCAAGAACGAATTGACATCAGCTGCTACAGATAAAGCATTATTAGAAGAACAAATATCTGATTTGAAAAACAAATTAGCCACTGCAGAAACTGAAGTTGCCAAAAAGTCATTGCAACCTCCTGCCGTGGATGAAAAACAAGCTGCCAGAATCAAAGAATTGGAGGAGCAACTTGGAAACGAAAAGGCTAAATTTGCTGATCTGGAAAAGGAACAAGAGGATCTCCTTGTCTGTATGGGTAAGTGCTTTTTGGAGTAGATTGACAAGAACGTTTTTCTGATCACATCTTATAGGTGAACAAGATTTGGACATTAAAAAGTACAAGAAGAGATTGAGAGATTTAGGAGAGGCTGTCACTGACAGTGAGGATGAAGATGAAGAGTAAAATAAAGATTTATTTCTGCATCTACAACATTTACAAATCGCTATTTTGAGCGACCACTGAAGGAATTTACTTCCTAATAAATGTGTTGCCATGACTACATCTAGTATGCTGCGCACTTTATTTATAACCTGCGAGTTTGTATGACCATGATATACCGAAAATGGCTTCAATCTTGTAAGTGATCCCCATTTGTTTTGTTGCAGGCTACCACAATCTTATCAAGTATCAAACTGAGTCATCGTAACACTAGCTTGATTTGATCTGATGCTTTTAATATTAAAAAACGGGTCATGAATGACTAATGCACTCTTTTACCAATGAAACATTGTATCAATGGCAACAATGATCACATGCAGCTGTAATCCTTCAATGCTAAACTAACGGCTTTTGCTGATCCACGAATAAAGAGCAAGCCTTGGCACACAGTGCAACCCATAGCATAAAAAACTGATTATGGATACATCTATGAACTATCCTCATTCACTGTTCCATCAGTTACATGAAATGCTTCATTGGGAATCTAAAGGAGCCGTGCCACACAGTTTATGATCACGCATTAGGCTTTGTACCCACAATATATATTTATTTACACCAAAATGAGATATTCGCACAAACATCTTTCACATCCTATCATATAAGCATATTACACTATCATAAATATGTACATAGATCACACTGCTGATCAAATAAACCGTTACTGGACTGAGCCTGTTACTATTGATTGACGACTAATTCACATAATGCAATTGATGTGGTGTCTCTTGATGACTGTTTCATAGATAGGTAATCGATCATCAGTGTACAGTGGTAAAGATTCTTCATATTCAATTACATCCAAAAACCTTGGCACAGGCAGTGCGTTTGCAGTTGATGATGAGCTACTGGCGTCTTCAGACTGTCGCTCAAAAACGTTCTTGAACGTGGAATAAAACTCAATTTCTTCAGAAGAACGAATACCATAACCAAGAGTGCCCACTTTGATTGGAATATCTGCTAAATCAAAGTCGTAAGACCATAGTTTTCCTTTTCGTTTTATGCTGATTTGTAATATATATGCAATCGAGAATACAAGGCCGTATGTAAAGGTCGGTAATCCATCAACAGGAACGTCTAGAGAGGTATTCACGTCGAAATGAGCTGTCGTTTCCAGTGAATGTTGTTTGATGGTATTTTGAGCAATCAATTGTTTGAGTTTCTTTTCACTCTTCAATGGCTTGTCCTTTTTAAATGCTCTGTTCCATGTTTGAATTTGGTATAATTTTGTTGAAATTGATTCTATCGACTTTTTAGGTATATTGTTGACGTTTAACGAGATGTTGATAGTGTCGCCTAGTACGTAATCCAGAGAAGACATGCTGGCGTGTACAAATGGTGTAGATTCTGGAGAGTTGCTGTCTGTATTATCTATGGTCGTGATGTGCACTGGTTTCTTTGATATACTGGTTTCAATAAAAGGCATATATATGATAGACTTGTGTGCTTTGATGATGTTGGTTTTGCCTTGATCTTGATCCAGGTAAGCTGACAACACAAAGTTTGAATGATACGATAGACCATCTCCTTCAGATATCACATTGGCCGATGGCGGAAACTGCACCATTGGTACTTGTATGATGAATGGAATTGAGATATCTGTCCCTGCAATGATATCTACTGGAGGTCGTAGGTCTTTTTGTTTCCAGAGTATCTTTTGTGTGCCGAATAATTGCTGATTGTACATTGGATTTGCATAGCCAGAGTGATATGTTGATTCAGAAGCATGAAAAACAATGCGAAGTCTTTCAGCTTTTTGCAATTGCTCTTCAGTAGCATTCAATTTGACAAAGCCTATATGATCACCGATTAGCATATGAGCCTATAACATGGCCATTGCATCATGCAATTACCTTGGAATACTGATCCAGGGCCATATACAGGTTGATTCTTGATAGACCAGCCAAATTCTGGCAAAAGATTGATTTCTATTGACATGTTCAGGTGCTTCAAGGTAACAAAAGCGGAAAGAGAAGGTAAAGTGTTTGTTCAGGCTGCTTTCTCAGGCGTTTTATACTTTTTGCCAGATTTGCGGACTTGGCAATACAGCTCTCTCTAGATTATGTCTTGGTTAATGATGCATTTAATGAGGACTATGAAGAGAAGCAAGACTGTTACTGACCGGCAGTATACGCATTTGTGGCATCAACTTTATGCAAAAAACCGTATACAACCCAAGTTGCTACAGATTAGGCTAGCCAGTCAAACTATGGTGGTTCGAAATGCCAAATTCGCCAAGGTAGAGAGCACTTGGCAAAAGATCGTCTACCTAAATCAACACCCAGTTCCAGGGATTTTCAATTCTTAAGCATTTTGCCTGTATTGGCCATCTTGTATCACCCCATGACACACTGCTGCTCTTGTATAATACACTAAATCAACTAGAGATAAGATCATGGCAGTGCTACAAATTTATAAAGCCATCATCTAGTGCAATACGCCTCTTTCCAAATTCCATTAGACCATCATGGCAACTCAAATGTGAATTTAAACAAGATCAAATCAAGGCTACTGCGGCCGATGCATGTATTATTTGGTATTACACATTTACAATGATCAAACATCTTACTGAAGCTATAAAAACTGCTGCGGTGAGTCATGTACTACCATCTGTTATGTAAGATACATGAGAGAGGAGAGAAAAAATCATTGCCTTCTTGAGCACAGAGCTCGAAACGAGCACAGCTGCGTTTTGCGGAGTAACAGCAAATGTGGATGTTGAAGTAGAGTGCACATGATGCTATGGAAATTACGATTACTATATTTGTATATAAATTTACCCATACATGGATCTTTCAAACATTGGCAGCCTTGGCAAAACAGAAAAAGTCAGAAAACGAAGATCCTTGACATCCACAAGGCATTTGTTCTATCTATCAAGACATACATTGGGCATTGCATTCATAGCCACTTCTGTTAAAGCAGCAGATGAATGATATGCACACATGCTTGGCATTGTTAAACAGGATGATGCGAGTGCCCTCAGGCTCACTCTCCTGGTCTCGCCGAATGAGCGGCAAAAACATGTCCAAACAGTTACTTGATCTGGATTTTGGTGGAACTTTGATTTCAGGAAGCGGGCATGCTTCATACACATTGAATGTCTGATTTATAGCAAATGTATAAATAGGACTCATGCCCTTCTTTTTGGCGTTTCAGTGCCCCCCCCCCCCCATTCGGCGACCGTGTCCGAATACCTCCTACAGGGTTGCCCATCACTGCAATGATGCAATGTGTATCTCGTTTACAAACTGTGCATCACCTTGGTATGAAAATACACACATTTTCTACCAACAAACATCAAGTATTCAGATAACATCATTTTCGTGCCATTGGGCACAAAAAACTGGCCATGACTGAAGGCGCACATGGCTTTTTAGACAACAGACGCTAAGCTCTGTATCACATTCATATAACACATTACGTCGAGTAAGCGATTTAATATGAAAAAGCAGTTGAGATGTTTTTAATAAATAAATACAATGGGCAAGGTTGGGGTATAATGTAAGCATACAATCTATTGGGATCTAACATATGGGGTGTTGTGATCTTTGTAATTCATAATCGGGTAATCGAGTAGCATCATAAAGGGGTAGAGCGTCTTCATATTCAATTGCTTTCATAAATTTTGGTAGAGGCATAGATTTACTGCCTGATGAAGAGCTTGGTTCAAACAGAGAGTACATCTTGAGTTCAGACGAAGATTTGATACCGTAGCCCAGCGTACCAATTGTCACTGGTACATCATCCATGCTGACATTATAGCTCCATATACCACCCATTGGGCCCTTTTGTTCTATGCTGATCTGTAGTTTATATGAGACTTGCACTAGGTTACCGTAATTATAGGATGGGGTCAAATCCGCAGGCAACTTTAGCTCTAGATCAGCCTGGCAACAAGTTCCCTTACCACCGAGATATTCAATCATTAGCAGTTTGTGAGATGCTTTAGCAACAGTGGTGACTTGGTCATTGAGATCATCGAAAGCAACGATGTGTAAGGTTTGGACAAGTTTGAGATGAGCAGTAATGTACTGAAGCGAGCCACCAGAAGGAGCAGGTTTGTTGCTAGTGATATCAAGACGAACAGGGATGGATTCGTTGGGGACGAAATCGTGTGCACTCATCTTGACTTTGGCAGTGAGATGAGCTTTGGACGAGACCATAAAAAGAGGTGATTTCAGTACGCTAGTTTCAACATAGGGCATACAGATAATGGGAATATCTGTGCGTATAGGTTCTGTCAATCTAGCGATCGAAGAGGGGGTATCAACAAAGGCAATGAGTTGGAATGCGCAACGATAAAAGCTGTGGTCCATGGAAGGTGGAAATTGGACCATGGGCATTTGAATAGTGAATGGAAACGAGTAATCAGCATCTGTGTCTAGCTTCAATGTCTGTTGCTGAGAGTGCCAGAGCACTTGTTGGACACTAAACAGCGTTCTCTTTGTGGTGCGCAATACACCAGGAGACAGTTCGAATGGAGGAATAGTTTCAACAGCGTAAAAAGCAAGTCTGATTCTTTCAACCACCAGGTCCAGCGATTCAATGTTGAGTTTTACGAAGCCTATGGATTTAATTGATATTGAGTATGAGATCTATCAATGCAATTGTATCGGACATACCTTGGAATACGGATCCAGGGCCATAGACTGGAGTGTCTTTGATAGACCAGCCAAATTCAGGTAGTAATTCTATAGAGAATGAACAGGAAGTAGTCATTTTGTGATATAATTAAAAAGAGATCGGCATTCGATGATTGACGTATTTATATCAGATGCAGAAACCTTGGCCGCCGCAGTAACCAGCGCTTTTGCCCAGCCGCAGCTTTTGTACTATTGTACTACTCCAGCAAAAAGCCAAACACTATATTCATGATATAATGTGGATCATTGTGAATAAGGCTTTATTGAATGTATTTGTGAAGGAATCTTCTATGGAAATCAGAACGCAGCATGTCATTGACAAATCTCTTTTTGGGCTTATCGTCAACGCCTCTGGCTTGATTCTTGAAAATAACATCGTCATCCCATCTATCAAAAGGTCGTTTTAGTCACACAGATCCACAAAGTCAGGGAGCTTGTTTTTGCCAAGATCTCAAACTCTCGGTATTTTCCCTTGCCAATACACAATTTACCTTCTCTTGACGCTAAAGTCACGCTTTTCAGATCCAATGTTCAACAATGGATTGCCCTCCATTGCTTCCTGTTCTTTTTCAGCTTCTTCCTCCTCTTTTGCTTCGCGCTCTTGGCGCTCCTTTTCCTCAGCACGCTCTTTACGGATCCGTTGTAACGTTGCTAATAACTCTGCTGCATTATCGTCATCGTCGTCATCGTCGTCATCATCATCACTAAAAATCCAGAATGGGATGAATATCACTTGCACACTGAGCTGTCAAAATATGCTACCTGCTACTACTCTCATCACTGTCACTCTCTTGATCGCTGTCATCTTTATCCAGTTTTGCTAGTCTCTCTGCTTCTGCCATTAATCTTTGCTTTTCTTCGTTCGGTTGTTGTTCTTCATCCTGTTTTATTAAACGAGTTGTTGATGCTCCTCCTTCTTTCTCCTCGTAGTATTCTTGCTCTGCTCTTCTTAATTCCTCTAGTAATTGCTCTCTGTCCCCAATTTCATCAACAGTGCCTTGTCCAGGTTGTCTGAACTTAAGCTTTGTATGTGAAGCAATATCACGAGCACTGTATTGAAAACTAGGTGCTTTACTATCGTTGCCTCTGGCGGGATCAAATGTGGGACGAGCAGCAGTAGTCTACAACAAAAGAATCAGCTAGTCGATCATGGATATATACAGCTGCATTCAGACTTACCATGCTGTATTCTTTAAGCTGAAAAAAAGGTAGAAGCAGGAAAGAGAAAAAATTGAAAGCAATGTTGCTACACAATGAGAGTGAATAGTTGTGACATCACTTTGAACCAAGTCCCTTGAGGCCATTCTCTGGCATATTAGGCGTTTTTGCCTCTTTTCAAGCACTGAATGTAATACCAAATCCAAACAAAATGGTCTTTATATTGGGCGTAAAGACTTTTGTAGAGGCATATTGATGCATAAATTGCAAACGCTATGTGTTCTATGTAAATATTTGGCTTTCTGCACTATACGACCAACTGTCTTTGATGTAAGAGATGCCGGATTTAATTCTAATCCAGCAACTAACATGGCATTGATTGACTTTGTTAAAGCAATCAGATTCAAGAGCCAGTTCGATCAAAAGCACTTAATATCTAAATGTTATTGCATGGCGCAGAACGTAAATTTCCCTGCATCTGAGATTAAGTATTTCGTTTCTCAATCAATACCATAGACTCTTGAACCTCTCTTGAGAGACGGTGAACTCTACATCAAAATACGTTGCTCGCACAGCTACAGGTAGCAGACTTCTTTATGAGCAATACAAACTCAATATGGGAGAGGTTTCGTGGCACTTGGTTGGCGATAGCGATGGCGATGTAGAGAAATAAAGCTGCCATTCATTTTCGTATTTCTATACCACTGCCCCTAAGCTCACCAGCCGCCACCTAGACCCATGCACACTCTAGTTAGGTGCTATCTTGCATGTCGCAATAAGCTCTCACGCTATAGATATTTAGCTACTCTTATGGATCTCTAGGCACAATGTGTTAATCATGATTATTTAAAAAACACTTTCTTACAGTAACCTCATTTATCAATTCATCTTTATGTCGTAAATCCCAGCCTAATGAAAAGTATATATAAACGCATCTACTTGGTACGCTCTGAATACAAAGGATATCACCACTGTAGTAGGTTTAATCACCATTACTATCTTGATCATGCATGCTCTCCAGAAGTTTAATGACCACCATCAGAGAAGCTGAACATAAAACCCTGTAAGGCAAAGTACGTGTACCTCAAATTTATGAAAGCATATGGCGGATCATTGCGAATAAACACGAGGATGTGAGCTATCCATCAGGTCATTTATCCTTGAATTTGCTAACTAAAAGTACATGCTTTAGAATAACAATGAAAACGCAATGCTGACATATAATACTTGCAATTGATCCACATGGTGTGATTGATACTGTTCTACTGTAATAACATTATATAGCTTCTTACTATTATATAGCTAAATTACAAAAAACTTCCGTTGATGCTTAACAAAGATCAAAGTATTCTACACCGAGAGTTGTAGAAAATACTTAACGCATGTTTCGAATTAAAGATGCACGAATGTATTTTATCTCATCCATGTTCCTGAACTGAATATTTAAATCTATACAATACAGAGGAGCAGATTAAACAGTAAAACGGCAAAAAAAGGCAGAGAAAGAAGATATTCGAGGTTTTCAAGCTGTCATTTGGCAACAAAGTAAAAAAAAAAAATGATTTGGCAGGTAAAGATTCTGGAGTGTAACCCAAAAGAAAATTTGGCAAAATATGGAGAAACCGGGGTTTGAACCCGGGGCCTTTCGCATGCAAAGCGAATGTGATAGCCACTACACCATTTCCCCACATTAGTAATTGTCGTTTTAATAAATAGATCCAAAGGTAGGAGTTAACAAATAACAGAGTGTAACCAATAGATTGAGCTTATGTTCGAAGATGCTGTTTATTGAATGCATTTACAACTTATATTTATACTATTTCTACGATCGACAATTACTTAATCAATAGAACTTTCGAGTAGATATAGTACTTGATATAGCAACTGATAATCAGATGAATGCCTGCTATCAGTTTCCAGAACCTTCGAGTATACGCTGGCGCCTTTTAGTCGCTTTCTTCAAATCTGGCTTAAACCTAAATTTAGGCACGACGATTTTGTCAGATGCTTATATATATAGACAGTATATGTAATCTGAGATCTGATCGAGATATATAAGGAGGTAGATATGAAGAGTTTGCAAGAAGATGTTATCGCCTTTTAGTTGAATGGATAAAAAGGTGTCTTTATTACTACTAGATTTGGATATTGGTTTTACCCAATATAGTTTGTGTAATGTTGTGCGCTATCCAGGTTAATCGCTGTTTGATGCTTGTTGTGCCAGAAGGGCTACAACTGTCTATAAAGATTAAGGTATTCTTGATGGGTAGATATGTCCATGTTGTTGCACAACATGGACAAGCTATGATAATTGAAGTGTATCTCAGCTATCTAAATACTGAGGTTCACCAGATGTAATAAGCGTTATACAAGATAAATTGCTATTTTGGCATTCAGAACTTGGTATAAACAGAATAACCCTTGTCTTCATCTGTGGACTTTGATTAAAATTCACGGAAAAAAAGAATAAAAAAACAGTAAAGTCAACTTGAAAAAGGTATTATGTTTTATTATCAAACTGACACGTGTAAAGTAAACTGAAGTCTCTCTACTGGCCAGGTAGATCATCCTTCTTATATACTATAACAATGGATAAAAGTTCTATTAATTAGATTGAAAAATAAGTCAACTCAGATCAACTAATGTCTAATCATGCTAAAAGACAACTCCAGCAAGCTAATCATGATTTAGCTTTGCCTGGATGAATAATTAGACTCTCATCCGAAGTACCCTGATCTATCCTTTCTATAAGGATAATTAATATCGATCTAGTAGCATGTATCCGATAGGTACAGTCTACTTAGTCTATATTAATAGTACCTATCTGAGTGTATATCGCTAAGCATACATCTTTAGCATGTATCTGGATATATGGCATGTCTATAGCTTATCGTATGCATGTCTATAGCATGTCTCATATATAGTACAAGTCTGTAGTACATAAAGTATCTGTAGCTAGTATCACGGATATAAGCATGTGTCTTATAGCGTGGATCATGAAGTGCACATCTGAAGCAACAAGCTCATATTGCATTAATCTTGGCACTTATCCAGATATGGCAAACATCCGTAGTCAATGTCGGAATACAAGTATAAGTCTATAGCGCCATCCATGTCCGTGGTGCCATCTATAGCCTATATCTTATATAGTATGAATCTTATAGTACTAGCGTATCTGAAGTCCATATCTTCTTCTTATAGTATAAATCGATATCGTACATCTAATCCAGCGTACATACAGTTTATATCTAAATCTGGTAACTGGATGAACTGTCGGAATGTAGATCATAGTGGATGTATTCCACACTTTGTGCTTAACAGTATATTTGGATCATCAAGTAGAGGTGTGATTTATTTACCTCCAAGGCAACACAGCCAACTAGGCCTTTTATTTAAGCCAAATTATGTCTAAATTTAGCCATTTTGAAGCACGAATAACTCATGCTACAAAGCGTTGTGGACGCTTGGAATAGGGCCAAACGTCTCCCCTTGGTTGCGTTTTACCTACTGATACTTTATCTCAATTTTTTTTTGGATCATTGCAAATCCATGAAAATTCTCATTTTTTTTCATAAGTATTAGCAAGGGAAAATTCTTGAAAATCAAACGATCGTATTTTTCACCCCAAAAAATGAAGACTATTCCTATGGTACATATAAGATCAAATTGATCGTAAAGACGGGATGCAGCACTGGAAACTGTTTCTATGTGGTTTTTCTATGTGAAATTTCAACATTTTGGCAAAAAACATGTTTTCATATTTTCCCAAATTGCTCATTATTTTCGGTCTGAAAGCTAAATGTAATCAGCGCCGTTCGATGCGACTTCTTTAGTTCTTTAAAGTTATATTAGAAAGTTGGGTATGATAACGACAGTTTTCATAGTCAAATTTGGCAAAAACGTTTAAAAGTTGTGAGATCAAGTCAAGTTTGAACACGAAAATACCCACTGCACAAACTCATATTAAATTGCCGCAATTACAGCTGCTGCGGGAAAAGACTGAGACCAGATCTACTGGCCGTGACGTCGGATAGGGCATCCTCTTATTCTTCCATACCCTCGTTTTTTTTTCCTTTTTTGCCAAACGTGTTTAGTACCAAACCATGGCTGTTTTGGAAACCGTTTGATTGATAATAACACTCTATCTTCTGATAACACTGTCATGCACTGTTAGAAGTATTTTATACTGCTTCTTTAAAGTGAAATATATTAGATACCATTCGATAACGAGCACTGGAAGGCGTAGAATTAACACTAATTGAATTTGTTTATTAAGTTTTGATGATTCTTTTTGTCTGTTTGACGTGGGTGGTGCTGCTGCCATTACTTCTCTGCTATCTCTGCTATCTGCTTCTTTGGTCTATCACGTCTGGTGGTTGCTTCTTTGGTCTTTTTCTGGTCTCTAGTGTCGTTCATTCCTCGGTATTTCTATGGCGCTGGTTTTGCTGCTGCTGCTAATCTGGTCTTTCCTGGTCTACTGTATTTGGTACATTCTCGTTCTCTTGTTTATATCCGGTGATTGTGTAATATCTGGTCTATCTGTGGTGGTGGTAAGTGGTAAGTAACCTCTTTGGTCTTTGTCTGCTCTCTGCTGAAGGTGTTTGTTCTTTAGTTTTTCTATAGTGCCGGTATTACTACTACTGCTGCTGCTACTAATATGGTTTATCCCGGTGTACTGTAATTGTTGTATGCTTGTTCTCTGGTCTATCTCTGGTAATTGCCTCTACTCTTATGGTCTATCTGTGGCGGTGACAAGTGATAAGTAACTTCTTTGGTCTTTGTTTGGTCTTTGCTGATGGTGCTCGTTCTTTAGTTTTTCTATGGTGCTGGTATTGCTGCTGCTGCTGCTGCTGCTAATTTGATCTTTCCTGTTCTACTGTATTTGCTGCATGCTCGTTCTCTAGTCTGTCTCCGGTAATTGCCTATACTCTTCTGGTCTATCTATGGCTGTGGTAAGTGGTAAGTATCTTCTTTCTTCTAGTCGCAATGATATAAACCTTCTTTGAACGTTTATATTGTTACTTCCTTTCTCATGATAATGCATTCATGATGTTTGTCTTGTCGCGCTTTTTTCTTCTTCTTTTTCTTTTGTTGGTAGTGTTTTCTCTGTAGCTTTACAAGAAACAATATTAGTCATTATGTTGTATCGCAAACTTATAATACCACTGTTGCTTTTGCAGTTGTGCGTATTTTTTGTGTTATCATGTTGCTTTACATCCGACTATTACTAGCATGCGCGTTGCTCATGTATGCATTTTTCTTGCAACAGCAACGAGTTTTTTTTTGAACATCTTTGATGTTGTGTTTGTTTTGCTTTTCTTTGACCCACTTTGTGTGAGTGTCTCTTTTTTGCCTACATACTACTATACTCTTATAGTATTATGTTCTTTTCTTATTATTATTATGTTTCTTTGAAGCATACTTTTTTTTACGTTGTGTGGATGTGCCTATCCCTGAAGCTCAACAAGACTTTATCCGAGGCTAGGAGGTAGATAGGCCGCCTCCACTTGGTTATCGCTACTTACTTTAGTGATGATTGAGGGTCTCAATGCCTGAATTTAAAGCTAGGTGGTGTAAGTAAGGCATGCTCTAGCACCTGAGGGAAATTTGATGATTGCAGTGGCTATATCGCTATTATATCGGCGCTTAAAATTTTGCCTCACATCAAAACAGGGGAAACCCTCGCAAAATTTTTTTAGGTCAGCGGAGTTTTCAAGCAATCTAATTGGCTAAGAGGTTGAAACAGCGAAGGATTACAACTAGTTAATCTCCTATTGATCTGTCATTTAACATTATAATGTGTTTATAATAAAAGTGTGTCTAAACTGTTACAATTTAAATTTTTCTTTATTCAAAATAACATAAGGTGCAATGATTGTGTTGTGCCAGAAGGGCTACAACTGTCTATAAAGATTAAGGTATTCTTGATGGGTAGATATGTCTGTGTTGTGCAACAACATGGACAAGCTATGATAAGTGAAGTGCATCTCAGCTATCTAAATACTGAGGTTCACCAGATGTGATAAGCGTTGTACAAGATAAATTGCTACTTTGGCATTCAGAACTTAGTATAAATAGAATAACTCTTGTCTTCATCAATAAATCTTTAGTTTTTGTGTCTGATCTTATTCAAATAAGTCTTTTCTTGTTTTTATAATATCGAACATTTTTTATAAGCTATAAATAATAATCCTTTTATTCTTTGTGCTTAACAGATTGAATTCATCATCCATTAAACAGTTTTATGAGAGGAATGCTTTCTTTAAGCATATTATATATGGAAGATGTTAAGCACAGAGAATAAAAGGATTATTATTTGTAGCTTATAAAAAATGTTTGATATCCCAAAAACAAGAAAAGACTTATTTGAATAAGATCAGACACAAAAACTGTCAAGAACTTGATTTCAACAGAGGATTTATTTAACAAAACGATTATCTTGAAGCACGTGAGAATAAAATATACAAAATAATCTACAACTGGAAAGGATGGAGGGGGAAAGGGACATGGTATTTATACTTGACAGGAGGTGTGGACGTAAGTGCCGAGACATGGGTATAGCATGGATGAACATAATGAATCGTTATCTGAAACATGAGTCATAATTACATAATTATGACATTGGCTTGATACTTGACATTGATAGATACTTGACATGATAAGGTTGCATAAAGCTTGGCATGACATAGTGGCTACTAATGATGACTAATCGATTACTAATAATGATTATTAATTAGTACTCCTAAATCCTGAACACCGAGATGACATAAGCATAACGTAGACATAACACCTGGGCTGCATGATTCTAGATCCAGGTACCAGATCGAAGCTTGGTTCATGACAAAAACTAAAGATTTATTGATGAAGATAAGAGTTATCCTACTGTAGGGGGAAAACTGTCCCGTTCGTTCAAATAATCTTGACTCTTACCTAGTATATTACCAAAACTCAAAAAGAGAATCCCTCCCATACTGCGTTCGATAGAACAGCTAACAGGAATTACAGCAACATAGAAAACTTATGGTTGGGCTATATTTTAACCCCAGTATAACCAACCAAAGTGGGAAGTGTCAAAAATGTTAGGTGGGTAATTCTAGATGATATAAAATGGTTGATATCTTTACTTCCAATAAACGTATCGAAGAAATCTAAAAAACTACCCGCGGTATGCTCAGGATAATTAATATCCCAGGAGCATTCTAAAAGTATAAAAGAAGCTAGTTTTTTCATATTTTTTCTTTATTTCTTTGCTTTCATATTTTTTTTTCAAAACTTTCATTATGCCTGCTCGTTTAACACAAGATTTGCGCAACACTCTCAAATCTTTGCTCTAACGTGGTCTTTCGTTCTCAAAGATAAAAAATATGTATCCAGGAATCGGTAACTGTACTCTTACAAGGCTCAGAAAACTCTATTGCCCTGACCTCGCAATACTTTTTGGCGGAAGACCGAAAAAACTTGGTGCTAAAACTATGTCTCTGGTGTCAAGAGAACTTCGATCAGGTACTTGTGATAGTCCCGGAGCAGCGCAAGAAAGTTTAAAATTGATGGGTCAAGATATGTCAATTGGTGGCATCCGCAAGTCATTGAAAAGAAATGGTCTTAAATCTCGAAGAAAAGCAAAGATAAATTTTGTTAGCATGACAAACAAGCGGCTTCGATTGGCGTGGGCTAAAAAGCATAGGCATCTTACTATTGCTGATTGGCGTCGTTGGGTGTTTTCGGATGAAACAAGAATAAACCTTTGAGGCTCTGATGGTAATTCTTTTTACTGAACGAATGTTGGCCGAATCATGCAGTCGTATCTAGTCAAGTCTCAGTTGCAGGGAAATGACGGTGGGGTCATGTTCTGGAGTTGTATAACAGCGGAGGGGCCTGGTTATGGTACTATCATTATTGAAGACGCAATAAACTCGGGCTTGTATGTCGATATTTTGAAGACACCATTGAACGACACTCTTGAGCACTTTGGGAAGACACCATCTGATGTGCGATTTCAACAAGACAGAGCAACACTGCATACCTCGGGCATTACTAAACAATGGTTCACCGACAATGGGTTTAACCTAGACAAAAATATGAATTGTCCAACCCAAAGTCCCGATCTTAGTCCCATTGAACATGTATGGCATCTCCTAAAGCTTCGTCTTAATAAGTATCCCACTAGGCCCTCTACAAAAGAAGAATTAGAGCGGCGTATTAACATTCAGTGGTACAAAATAACAGAAAAAGAGTGCCAGAAATATATTGATAGTATGCCTGCCCGAATCAAGGCTGTCATCAAGAGCAAAGGTGGTTCAACTCACTATTAATGATTCTAAAATAAAATGTACATTTTTCTATATTTATTTTTTAACCAATAAAATCATTGGATTTTAGTTTTTGAAAAAGTTATAATTATATATAGATAGCACTACTTTCTCTCATTCAAACGATATATATTTCGACTTTGTATACAAAGAAATGACCAAAAACTTGTGCAAAAAGACAAAATTTTAAACGAACGGGACAGTTTTTCCCCCTACAGTAGTTAGCAGATAGAGTATTCGTTTTTAATTCCTTGTGTCTGGTGACAACATTGTAATGTTCTGAGCTGACAATAGAAGCAGCCTTTGCTGCATCTTGTTCACGTTGACGAACCCAAATATGCACTCATAAAATGTGGATGAGAGGATAATCAAATGCTTCACCCAGCATAAGATGAGTTCGTGTTGCTATCAATATTGTTAGCAATAGATGCTTGCACTTGATGATTTGAGAACTGTTGGCTGTGTTGAAGACTTGGCAGATTGTGTTTGAGATAGACATCATTTTGCAACACGAAGATATGCAAAGTGTCTGGCATCTACTACTCTGTAATGTTTATCATCGTTCTTAAACAGGTACTCAGTGACACTACTGTCAAAATGTATCTGTCAACGAGGACCCCTCTCGTTGCCAGCAGGCCCATCCTGCCCAATGCTACAGTTTTCTTGTATGAATTATCGTCAGTTGGGAATTGTGACATCCAGGGCAGAGCTGTCCTCTTTCGCAAAGGAGAAAGATGCAATAAAGGGGCAAGATGAGAGGAGCTAGATAGTTCTCCTCAAATGGCAGTAATAGTATCCTGTCTCTTCAGAGGACGCTCATTCAACTCATCATCATCCACCAACACTCTCTTTTAGTGCTATGGATGCTAGCAATGGTAAAGGTGGGAGCAACAAGGCAGACAGAACGTTGACGATTCAACTGGGACTAACCTATTGGGTGGTGTTGATCCATGAGAACTAATGCTACAAATTTGAGTAAGAAGTAATTTATCAGAAATAAATTATTTATATAAAAGAGTAAGCAATTAATCAGGTAAAGAATATAGTTTATTACATTGGAAATAAGAGGGTTTACATACTATTCGAATTGAGGGATTTGATGTGAGGATAAGGTATTAGATGGGTTGATTTGGATGATAGGATAATAGATTGGATTTATTATCCTGAACATGCCATGATACGGATCGTAACTTAATCCTGTTTCATGTCAAAGTTTATGATCTGATGTGATCTGCGCTTGAACTGATTGTTCCTACGCATTTGGAGATCCGGTTTAGAAATGATACATCAAGAAGGTCTTGAACAATATATAACTCTTAGGACATAATTCTTAGGACTACGCAATGAGTATTGGTACAGGTAAGCTGGTACAGTTTCATCACATGCTTTCGTTTGAAAACCCTCAAAACATTTAAAAATCAGGTCTAATTGTGTACAAGCTATATAATAGCATCAATTACGGTATATACCTATGTTGCTACACTGTAAAAAGTAGCTTGATGAGAAAGTGAATGTACCCTAAGATGCATGCTTGCATGCAACAACTAAATTGCTTTCATTAAGACATGAACAGTGTCCATTCTGAAGAACATTAAAGGTGTGATTATATACTTCTATTTCCATTTGATTAAAATTTTATTATTATAAAAGACAAAATAACGCTAGACAAATCAATAGGAAACCAACTAATTGTAGACCTTCGCTGTTTCAATCCCTCAACCAATCAGAATGCTTAAAAACTCCGCTGACCTAAAAAAAATTTGCGAGGGTTTCCCCCTGTTTTGATGTGAGGCAAAATTTTAGGCTCCGATATACAGCAGTATAGCAGATGCCATCATCAAATTTCCCCCAGGTGCTAGAGCATGCCTTACTTACACCACCTAGCTTTTAAATTCTGGCATTGAGACTCTCAATCATCACTAAAGTAAGTAGCGATAACCAAATGGAGGCGGCCTATCTACCTCCTAGCCTCGGATAAAGTCTTGTTGAGCTTCAGGGATAGGCACATCCACACAACGTAAAAAAGGTATGCTTCAAAGAAACATAATCAAAGGAACAAATGAACATAATACTATAAGGGTATAGTAGTATGTAGGCAAAAAAAAAGAGAGGCGCTCACACGAAGCGAGTCAAAGAAAGGCGTAACAAACACATCAAAGATGTTCAAAAAAGCTCGTTGTTATTGTTGCAATAAAAATGCATACATGAGCAACGTGCATGGTAGTAATAGTCGGATGTAAAGCAACATGGCACAAATATACACAACTGCAAAAGCAACAGTGGTATTATAAGTTTGCAATACAACATAATGACTAATGCTGTTTCATGTAAAACCACAGAGGAAACACCACCAACAAAAGAAAAAGAAGAAGAAGAAATCGCAACAAGGCAAACATCATGAATGCATTATCATGAGAAAGGAAGTAACAATATAAACGTTCAAAGAAAGTTTATATCATTGCGACTAGAAGAAAGAAGATACTTACCACTTACCACAACTAGAGATAAACCAGAGAACGAGCATGCACCAAAGACAGTAGACCAGGAAAGACAATATTAGCAGCAGCAACAGCAGCAACAACACTAGCACCATAGAGAAACCAAAAAACGAACGCCACCAACAGAGACTAGTTAAAGACCAAAGAAATTGCTTACTAAATCTATCACAGCCAAGGATGGACCAGAAGAGTATAGGCAATCACCAGAGATAGACCAGAGAACTAGCATACAGCGAAAACAGTAGACCAGGAAACATCAGATTATCAACAACATCAAAAACAACAGCAGCAGCAATACCAGCAGCAACAGCAACACCAGCAGCGTAGAAAATCCGAAGAACGAGTGACACCAGAGACCAGACAAAGACTAACAAAGCAACTGCACACTACGGCCCAACTGATGTTCTCATGAGAACATCGAGGTGCTCATATAAGAATCTATTTTATGTTCTCATTCGAGAGCATCGATGTTCCCAAAAAGTGGAAAATGCTCTCATATGGGAACATCGGCGTTCCTAAAGATCTATTATAAGTCGGCCGATGTTCTCATAAGAACATCCGAGATGTTCCCATATGAGCACATCCATGTTCTTAAATAAGAGCAAATGTAGCTGTTTATGAGCGCATCGATGTTCTCAAATCAAAATATCGATGTTCTTAAATGAGCAAATCCATGTTCTCAAATGAGAACATTCATGATCGCGCATGAACCTATCGATGAGCTGAAATGGGATCATTGAAGGTCTGAATCAGCTTAAATATTGGTAGCTTTTATTGGCCCATAATTCGTGGTTTAAATATTGGCAGCTTTCATTGGCTCAGAAATTGTGGTTTAAATATTTATACATTTATTATTGGTTAATTTTAATGGGTAAACGAAGGCTACGTGCCAAAAACGTGCAATAGTAAAGCCTTGTAGTGGTAATGGTCATGCTGTAGGCTATAGTAGAGTCAAAGATAATTGAGAATAATAGCCTGGATCAGTATGAACTGTTTCGTGTTTCCCAATATTATCAGTTTTTAGGGCAATATAAAAGTGATGTTTCCAGGCGAGATCCAGAGAGAGCATAGAATGAAAAGGTTGAAGCCATCAACAGTGTTCCATGTAGAGCAACGAATTGTACAAAAGCCAGCATAATATCAAAGATGTGCATGTACCTATCAGCAAAGATGTGAACTGAATCAAGTTAGTAAAGCGTTCCAGCAAAGGCGTGATGACTACAATACCTCTTTCACAAGACAGATAGAAAGTACAGCACACCACCAGGCAGCGACTCATTGGGAGCAGACATTCTTGAAAAGAAAACATCGAACGAATGTTAATGCGTCTTATGCCGTCAGAAGTATCAGATGTATAGACCGCATCATTCAACTATGAAGCATCTGCCATTGTTCACTGGATGCAAAAGGGGATCCATAAAGTATGCAAGAGATGTGCTCAGTTATCAAGCCAAACCCGCCAGACCCACTCGACGCTGGCACTAGTTAACTTATCAGGTGAGTAACGACTGATTTTTCCTGATGATGCAGCAAAAGATGACTTACTACTTGAACAGTGATAGCAAGAAAGCAGATAAATGGAACCAGCAGGATGGAGGGAAACGGTTAACCAAATGGCATACTTGCGACATCGAAATTGACCTGGCAAAGTCGCCTTTACATTTCTACAAGATATTTGTTAGCTTTTATATGGCAAGAAGCATTGGACATACCATAAATTTGTTGTTTCGAAAGGATGTAAATGAAGATTCCATCCTGGATACTATGGCAGGGATATGAAGCTTCCCACGGCGCACATTTGAAATGGTATTCCTTCTTCAATGGCATTGAAACCTAGCCTCCACCTTTAAAGCCATGGACGGTAAATGCTGCCTCTTCTTCTTGCTGCTACAGAGCACATGTCTCTTATGCTGATAGAATTAAAGTGAAAATAGATGAAAAATGAAGAAAAAAGAGAAACAAAAGCACTTTTTTCTCAAGGGATGACCTAAATATACAAAGTTTCGATCTAAAAATATAGAAACACGCTCTAATCATGCACAGTATCAGACTGATGTAACCAAATCAAGTAACTTTTTAAGCTGAAGTGACCTATCAAATGTGATTTTAAATGTGGCATCGCAGCTAATCCATCATCTCAAATCCCAATAGAGCAAGGCAGCATCAAATGTACAAAAGCAAAGTAATTTTATTTTGGATGAAATATACAAGATCTCACAAACGCACACACCATTACATATTGCTAGTAGTACTAAGGTTGTCATCATCCTCAGCATTACCAACACCGGCAGTTTGAGCAAGCTGGGCAATATCACTGTCTCCAACAATTGCTGATTCAGTCTCCTAAAAGCATTTGAAATGTTTCCAATACTTAGATGTTAGCCATGGCCAAAACAAATAATAGGAGCTACTTACCAGAAGATGGCTTCTTGCCTCGTTTTCTTGCAAAGACACATTGGCAGCAGCATTGGCAGCATTGGCAACATTGGCAGCAGCATCAGCAGC